GAAATAAAGCAGCAATATTTACAAGAATCTGATGAATATTCTTCAATCAATGAAGACCGTATCTCGATAAATTTTTTAAAGGAGCTAAATTCGATGGACCACAATCCTGAAGAACCTGTTCCGGATACTCCTGTAACCTATGATCTTAATAAGCATATAGATGATTCTCTGGAAGAAATAACACAGCAATCTGAAAAAGAACCAGATGAATGTTCTTCTGTCAATGAAGAAACCAGCTCGACAGATTTTTTAAGTGAACTAAATTCGATTGACAAAAGTTTAAAAATTGACTCCCGTCTAGAAAACCTGGAAAAACCTGTTCCGGATATGCCTGTGGCCTTCGATCTTTATAAACATATAGATGATTCACCAGAACAAATTCTTTTTCCCTTACCCGACATGGAACAGCAATCTGAAAAAGAATCGGATGAATATTCATCAATCAATGAGAAAAGCAAATCGGAAAATATTTTAAAGGAAATAGATTATATTAACGTAAAATTAGAAACCAATTGCCGTCTAGAAAACCTGAAAGAACCTATTTCGGATATGTCACACTCAAATAATCTTTATAAATATATAGATGAATCTCTGGATGAAATTACTATTCCTTTACCAAAGATAAAACAGCAACCTGAAATAGAATGGGATGAATATTCATCAATTAATGAAGAAACCAGCTCGACAAATTTTTTAAATGAACTAAATTCGATGGACAATAATTTAAAAATTGATTCCCGTCTAGAAAACCTGGAAGAATATCTTCCGGATATGCCTGTCACCTATGATCTTAATAAATATATAGCTGATTCTCTCGAACAAATTACTTTGCCTCTTACTGAAATAAAACAGCAAACTGAAAAAGAATCGCATAAGTATACTTCAATCAATGAGGAAAGCAGCTCGATAATTGACTCTCGTTTAGAAAACCTGGAAGAACCTGTTCCGGATATGCCTGTCACCTACGATCTTAATAAATATATAGAGGATTCTCTTGATCACAAGGTACAAAATAAGCGGATAAATGAAAGGCGTACAGATAAGAACTGTAAAGCACTTCCTGAATCAAGTTTAAATAATGCCGGAAATGAACATTTATATGACGCAACCAGCAATGATCTTAATGAGCCAGTGGATAACTTTATACAAGGGATGGAAGACCATCTAAGCATGCGTAAAATTGAGTATACCGAAAATAACGGATGTCTTACTAAGAGCAGCTCGAAAAATATTAGAAATTTAAATGACTTCAATTTAGAAATTGACTCGCACCGAGAAAACCTGGAAGAACCCATTCCGGATATGCCAGTCGCAAATAATTTTTATATATACAGAGATGAATCTCTGGAAGAAAGTTCTATTCCTTTGTCTGAAATAAAGCAGCAATATTTACAAGAATCTGATGAATATTCTTCAATCAATGAAGACCTTATCTCGATAAATTTTTTAAAGGAGCTTAATTCGATGGACCACAATCCTGAAGAACCTGTTCCGGATACTCCTGTAACCTATGATCTTAATAAGCATATAGATGATTCTCTGGAAGAAATAACACAGCAATCTGAAAAAGAACCAGATGAATGTTCTTCTGTCAATGAAGAAACCAGCTCGACAGATTTTTTAAGTGAACTAAATTCGATTGACAAAAGTTTAAAAATTGACTCCCGTCTAGAAAACCTGGAAAAACCTGTTCCGGATATGCCTGTGGCCTTCGATCTTTATAAACATATAGATGATTCACCAGAACAAATTCTTTTTCCCTTACCCGACATGGAACAGCAATCTGAAAAAGAATCGGATGAATATTCATCAATCAATGAGAAAAGCAAATCGGAAAATATTTTAAAGGAAATAGATTATATTAACGTAAAATTGGAAACCAATCGCCGTCTAGAAAACCTGAAAGAACCAATTTCGGATATGTCACACTCAAATAATCTTTATAAATATATAGATGAATCTCTGGATGAAATTACTATTCCTTTACCAAAGATAAAACAACAACCTGAAAAAGAATGGGATGGATATTCATCAATTAATGAAGAAACCAGCTCGACAAATTTTTTAAATGAACTAAATTCGATGGACAATAATTTAAAAATGGATTCCCGTCTAGAAAACCTGGAAGAATATCTTCCGGATATGCCTGTCACCTATGATCTTAATAAATATATAGCTGATTCTCTCGAACAAATTACTTTGCCTCTTACCGACATAAAACAGCAAACTGAAAAAGAATCGCATAAGTATACTTCAATCAATGAGGAAAGCAGCTCGATAATTGACTCTCGTTTAGAAAACCTGGAAGAACCTGTTTCGGATATGCCTGTCACCTACGATCTTAATAAATATATAGAGGATTCTCTTGATCAGATTACTTTTTCTTTACCCGACCTGAAACAGCAATCCGGAGAAGAATCGAATGGATTTGCTCCAACAACTGAGGAAAAAATGGACGGTGATATTAGTCTTTCTATGGATGAAGTTTTTAAAAGTTTTGAGTCGAATGAATATCAAGACAATAGTGATGGCGAGTCAATTTAAATCTTTTCTACAGGAGTTTTATAAGAAATCTAAACAGCCAAAGAAGAATGTACTAAGATTCTTTATAGTATTTTATCAAAAATTCTTCCAAAGATCTTTTAACAAAAAAAAAAACATCCTAGAAATTGATTATTTTTTATAATGGGCTCTGACAAATTTTCTTTATGTTTTTAGAAAGTTGAGCATCTCTTCGGGAAATCTCAAATGAATAATTAAACATAATTAGCCACCATTAACGAGAGCACATCCCCCGGAGCGGGCCAAAACCGAATGCAAAGCGCAGCTCTGACACACAGTTGGCCAGCTCAGGGGCATTCGGGCCAAATCAAAGCGAATCAACAGCACAATTGGGTGGTGGGGTCAGGAGTTCAAAGTGGGAGCTTAGAGACCCTAATAAGTCAACTGCAATGCATAAATTTCGACACAGCAGCAGGCCTGGGCCAGGTGGCAAACCTAAACCCAAACACAAAACCCAAATCGGAGGATTAGGCCAAGTGTTTGCCATTCCGACTTTGGCAAATAACCCAGAGAATCGTGGAGGAGCGGGTGAAAGGGGTTCGGGCATAGTGGTGTTTAAGGAATTCCTGATTGACAATGTGGTCCGCACTGGGGACCGCCCACTTTTGTCGCCTTCGTCGTTGGTCAAGAGCAAATTTGGCAATACAACAAAACGCCTTTAACCTTTGACAGGCCGCACACATTTCAATTGTTGAAAATTTGTGGCCCCAGCGTTGGGTGGAACATTAAAATTGATTACCCCAACAGTTTGGCTAATAGATGGTTCTGGGATCTTTCGGCTCTCAAACCTCAACTGTTTCCTTTAACTGCCACACAGGAAAAAAATGATATGTCAATATGAGTTTAGGTAATGCGATTCAAATAATATTAACCCCACTTTTCTATTAATCCTTGTACACAAATAAAAAATTACTACAGTAAGTGTAAATTTTGAAGTTTCATTTGAGACTTTTATTTTAAAAAGACTACTGTGATATTTTGTTCTAAACGTCAAAAATAACACTCTTTTTTTACTTTTGACCACAAAGCATATGTATTTCAACAAATCTGGAAAGCAAATTAACTGTTATTTGTCCATGTCTATAAAGTGCATAAAAACCAGTAAAATTGTTGATAAAAAATTGAACAAATCTCAGTAGGCCTTTTAAAATAAAAGTCAAATAACTGTTATTTACGGTCCCTGAAAAATAAATTTTTTCAGTGCACTTTTCTTCCATTTGCTGATTTTCCCCTTTTAACACTTTACAATCACTTAATCTGAATTGGCAGCTATTTAAACACAAGTTGAATAGCACAAGCGATTGTGAGGAAAATTAATATAAATGACAATTTCCGCATCGCCTTAAGCGGTTATCAATTGCCGCTGTGCGATGCTAATCGTGTAATCCTTTTTAAATGATTGCACAAACAAACGGATATTAATGTCATAAACAATTCACACATTCAACTACACAGCACTCGCACGCCATGTAATTCTGTTTATTGCTTGAGGTTATTTAATATTCAATTTTCGGTTCTCGTTTCTTGGCCATATCCTGGGCACCTCATAAAATGCGAAAAACTCATAAAACCCATGGCAAACATATTTTAATCTGCACATGGGTAAATGCGGCTAAAGAGGAAAGAGAAAAAATTCAAGCTGGCAACATGAATTTATCACGAGGATATTGCAAATACAAAACTGTTTGCGTGAATTTTATTGAGTTCCGCTTAGGTGGGTGCGTATATATATATTCTTGTGCATATTTTTATAAATCTCTTAACAAAAATAGCTAACTCTTTTATTTGCTGTGAAGGCTTAATTACATGTTTACAAAAAAATAAATGCAGGAATAAATGAAAAATTCTTTTTTACCAAATGTTTCTATTTGGTTATTTACGCAATATATTATTTCAGAAAATAAGCTTTACCCGTTACTCAGCTAGAGGGAGTGCGAGGGAGATGGAAATATAAAACTTTGATCGGGCATAACTTTTTAACGAATGGTCCGATTTGAAAAACAATTATATTTCGATAGATATTGATGAACACAATAAAACTGAATTTTTACTTTTCCAAAAAGATGTGGGCGCTAGACACATTTTAAAATCGTTTGTGGGCGTAAGAGGGGCCGTGGCGCTCGGCTGAAATAAACTTAGGCTGCGTAGGAAGCCCAAGAATATGTGTGGGTAATCCCCGCTTTTGTAGTTTCCGAGATTTTAGCGTTCATACAGACGGAAAGACGGACAGACAGACAGACGGACATGGCTATATCGACTTGGCTAGTGATCCTGATCAAGAATATTTATACTTCATGGGGTCGGAAATGCTTCCTTCTAGCCCTTACATACTTTGGCACGAATAAAATATACGCTTTTACTCTACGAGTAACTGGTATGAAACCGTATATCTTATCTGCTCAGAATAAATTGTCAAAAGCTTAACAATTGAAGGAGAATTTAAAATGAGACATTGAATGAACATTTCTATATTTTTATATGAAGAAGAAAACACTTTCGCAAATCCTGAAGTATTAACCAGATCTTCTGGAGCTTGGCTATAAACTGAAAACGAACTTCCTTTTATCATGGCCCTGGAAAATATTTGTGGAATGGATAAGGTATCGTTTATGAGAAGCTTTGGAGCCCTCACCTCCGCACAGACAATGAAAGAAATCAGACTAGCCTCGAGTAACATGGATAATCCCTTGGCAATAAATGCTCCACCATTTGAGAGTCCCCGGGAACGACTGAATGAACTGGCGGCCCAAAGTAAAGTAGGGATGGATTTTGACCACGGAACCACCACGGTGGGCTTCGTTTACAAAGGAGGCATTATACTGTGTGTGGATTCGAGGGCCACGTCGGGAAAATTTATCGGATCCCAGAGCATGCAGAAAGTGGTGCAGGTGAATAGGTATATGCTGAGTACAATGGCAGGCGGAGCAGCGGATTGCACCTATTGGGATCGGGTTTTGACCAGGGAGTGCAGACTTCACGAGCTGCGCTACAAGGAGCGACTCTCTGTTCGATCTGCTGCCAGATTTATATGCAATGTGGCTGCGGATTACAAGGGAATGGGTCTGTGCATGGGGATGATGCTGGCGGGATGGTCTCCCGAAGGCCCCACCTTAGTTTACGTGGACTCCGACGGACTGCGCATCCACGGAAAAGTCTTTGCCGTGGGCAGTGGGGCCTCCAATGCCCTGGGAATTTTGGATACCGACTACCACTTTAATCTCAGCGATGAAAAGGCCTTCGATCTGGCTTTTCGCGCAGTATACCATGCTACCATGAGGGATATTTTCTCAGGTGGTTTGGTAAGACTTTATCACATGGATAAAAGTAGCTGGAGAAATGTGGCCAACAAAGATTGTCAGGAGTTGCATGAAGAGTACTCAAGGCAGTGAGTCTTCACAGAGTTTTACTTACACCGTAAAGCATTTTATTCATTATTTTAAATTTAACAAAATTGTAAAAATAAAATAAATTTAGCTTGTTTATTTTCTAATTTGCTTACACGCTTTTAATTAGTTATCCTTTGTTTACTTAAATTTTCACTCAATTTTTACACGCTCCACAAATTTCTTTCCCCACGACCGTGAAAATTGCTAGTCGCTAATCATTTTGCGCTAAATTAAGTGACCTAATGAAATGCTCTGATTTTTTTCACTTTTTTAATGCTGACACGGAATGTTGGGCTTTGCCTCCCCAAAAAAAAGAGCATAAAACAAGAAAATTGCCTCCTTTCTGGACATTGGCACAACAATTAAGTTGGCATTTAAGTCGAATAAAGGACAGAAGCAGACACCAAAAAGAGTTAACAAAAGTCCCTGCATAAATCAATGGCAACAGCATTATTTGGGCATAGAAGGCGGGAATGAAAAAGGGTCCAAACACTTAAATTTTTCCCGCGTCGTGTTCTTCGGCCCGGCCCAGCAGCATTAATAAACAAGAAAGTGTGAAATAAAGCCAAATGGACATAAAAATTTGTATGTCCAACACGAGAAAGGGGCAGCAGAAAAATGTAAGGAAAAATGCAGGCACAGCAATAAAACGCGGCGAGTGCTTTTAATTTGAAATCCTGCCAGGATAGGACCAAAAGTCCCTGAAACTCTTTATTCCTTCTCTCGCTTGCCACTTCCCTTTCAAGTTATTTTTCTGGAATTGGGATTGGATCAGGAGCCGTGAAGGTGAGGGAGCACTTATAACGCTTGTGTGGATTACAAATCCCACCGGTACAATAAACTGCTTTATTTGCAAAAGTTCTCTGCATAAAAAGACACAACTAAGGAAAACAAATTTAAATGGTTCTGTTGGTCAGTGCCGCATTGAAATTGAAAAATAAAGTTTTATATAAATATTCGCTTAGCTTCCGGAATTAAATATAATACACATAACTATGTTTGTTAGAGAAGTTTGTTATTTGCATACCTTATGAAAACATGCATGCTTTGGCCAACAACGAAATTAAGTTTTACTTCGAATAAATATTCTACACCAGGAAATCAAACATTTAATTAAATGGGAATCCAGAAGTCTAAAAAATGCAACTTGAATGTCTAAGAATTTTTAGTTCAATTGGCGAATGTTTTCGGATCATGTTATTACAAAATAATCTCCACAGGTATTTGATTTGTTTTGAAAAATATCTAAAATATTTTTCAATGCTTTTCGACTGAAGTATTTTGAGTTTTTCCGAGTGAGACTCAGCACATTCAGTAACCTAATTAGTATCTCACCTGCTAAAGAACATTTATCATTATCCTTCTGACTGAAAGGCGGAAACCTCCTCTATAAACTCTGCCTCTGCTGGTGTTTTATGTGCCCTGGCCGTAATAAATGTTGTCATTCGGTCCTTTTGCCCACTTCCTAACCCGTTTTGAAACAAGCAATAAATGTCAGCGGCTCGGGTGAACCGGGCATAAACTACAATGGCCGGCGGATACTTTATTTAACACTTGCATAAACGGACACGGCCGGAGATATCTCTCGGGTTATAAAAGCGCAGCTATTGGAAAGAATGGTTTGGGAAACCGGAGAATGGGAGCACGTGTGCACCTCGTTACTTCTATGGGGTGCAATCAAAACGAGTTTAGGTACAGCACTTAAGTTCTAAAAAAGATTGAACAATAGAAATTTGTAGCATTCTAAAAATAGGACAACCCAGAAAAAAGACTTGTATGCATTTAAAGTATTTCACTTTGCCTTTTTGTTTTAATCTCTGCGGGAATATAGGATTGAAACTCGTTTTCAAATTCATTTCTCTGTCTCTTCAATCTATTTGCCATCTCCTTTTCTAAACCTAATGACATTGGATCTTCTCGTTTACTATGCTGCAAATGTGTCCCTTAAATCTAAGCAAGCCGTCGACACTAAGCCATTGGATAGAAGGACTCGTTGAGTGACTCGCTGACTGGAGTGCGAAAACCAAAGCGCTACACTGGAAAAAATTCCAAGTAAAATCTGGAAATTTCGTAAAAACTAAAACTTTCATAAATCTTAAAATAATTATTATTGGAAGCTAATTTTAAAACATTTTTATTTTAAGAAATAACCACGACAATTTCCCTGCTATTAACATTACCATTTTTCTCAGTGAAGTACCGCAACTGATGCTTGACACGCCCCTAAGCCCCAGCGCCTCCAGCTAGAGGAGCATAAAAAAATATTATGTCAATAGATAAAAGTCATGGTGGAGACGACAGGCAGTGAGGACAACATCGTGGATAACAAACAGCAAACATTGGCCAAATGTCGCGTGTTCAATTGTGCAAGCCCAGCTTCCTCCGACCCCCTTTCCACCCTCCACCCACTGATTTCCAACCCACCGTCCACAACCACCCACTGTCACTGTTTATTTTATTGATGTCGCTGCCGCTGACTTTGCCTCTGCAACTGGAGGCAACCATGACAAAGTCATCAACGGGTGGAAATGTGGGGAAAGTGGGTGGCAATGGGGTGAAAAGGGGAGGGATTGGAACAGCTATAAGGGCGGGTCAAAGGAGAGCGGATCCCTTCTTGTTTTACGACCAACGAAGCGGCCATAATTGTGCATTCACAGTCACAGTCACAGTCATAGCCACATTCGCATTCACTTGCTTATTATAGGCACTGAGAAATGGCTGTGGCCTGGATGAATTCTCCTTGGCCGCCTCCTCCTTCTCGTTCCTGGGATTCCCTGAGTCTCTGGTAATTTGCAAGTGATTTATGGGACCTTGTGCATAAAGGAATGAAGGACCCAAAAGCTGGCCACCGGAGGCAACAATTTCCATTTGGCGTTCGGTCCCTGTTCGAAACACTTGATTAGCCGCCATGATTGAACGGTTATTGGTAAATTGAAAGTTGTGTTCTTTGATGGTAGCGAAGTGGAATATCTAGGAGGAATTAATATATTTAAGACGAGTTTTTACAGGTAAATTTAGCATTTAAAATACTTAAAGCAGGTATAAAATTATTCAAACAATACGATGATTTAAATCCCTTTGCATTATATCAGAATTCATTAAATGGAAGTTTTTAATTTATTTAATAGATTCACACTAACCAATTATGTCATGAAAAATATTTTGGGAATATTACATATTTTAAATTTAAAAAAAATACTTCCGAGTTTAGTTTTGAAATAAATAAAAATGTAATAATTTTTAAACTTTTCTTTGAACGGTTCCAGAACTTAAATGACTCCCTCGAACATAAAATGGCTAGAAAACTCCAATTAAATTTCTCCCCCACTGGCCTACTTTAGATTTGATATGGCACACATAGAATTTTATATTTTCGTGATTTATTAGCCACTGCCAACCGCAGGCGATGCCGCCACTCAACAGCACTCCGCAAACCGTAATTTGTGTTACCCCTAAGCAGAAAAAACAAACCCCAACACACAGCAGATACACGGCCAAATGACAGCTACAAAAAATATTATAAATATAAATATTTTCGGAGCAGCAGCACATGCAATCTTGTGCAATTTTCACGCTGCAAGTGAACAAGGAGCAGCGAAACCTACCCAATCCCGAAAACTAACCCATACCCCCCAAAAAACCAACCCGGGCTGTCAGCGCAAACAGTTGCAAACAGACATGAAGATTATGGTACGTAGGGGGATTTGCAGGGCGAGTCGTTACAATGTAGTTACATAGCAAGGCGAACTATACATATATAGTGTATATATAGAGAGATTTCCAGATCCTCACGTTTTTCGTTTGTTTGTCGGAGAGGCAAATTTGGTAATTCTGTTTCTAGCACACTCGAAATTATTTTCTCCCTCAACCAAAAAAAAAGAAAACACAAAAGTTTTCGAGTTCTTTAGAAAACTTCTTTGTGGTGTAAGTTGTGAAATTTATTGAGCTTCCCGTTAAGCACTTAAAGTTGGGCTTCGGCAAACAATTTTGATATGAGCATTGGGCTTGAGTTTTGCATTTTCTGCATACTTAAACGTAAACAAATTTGTCACTCGGAGCTGTGAATAATTTTCGATTGGAATTGAATTTGAATTGGGTGAAAAGCAGCTTGAGGGATTTGTGAAGCCTGCTCGTAGGCGCTGATAAATTGAATTCGAATTGTTGCCAAAGGACCTGGTTTAACTGCTTTTCTCATTAGAGTTGTTGCACTTGCCAATTCAATATCTAGCCAGGTCACTTCACCTGAAGAACATAAATCCAGACAGCCTGAGTTTGTTTCCTTTTTTGTGACGCCGCCACGACTCAAAAAGGCCTTAAGCTGTCAACTTTAGCTTATTTCAGGCTTTTTTTATCCACCCTACTTTGCAGCTTTTCCTTTGTCTTTTTATTTGTTTTCCTTGATTTTTTGCCACCGCTTCAGCTCTGATTGTTGTTCTGAAAAACTCGTCTAAGCTGCTGGAAAATCGCAAATTTATGTTAATTTTAAGAAGACATTATTGTAAATGATGTGCTCGGGAAGGAAATTAAATGAAATAAAATGCGAATTTCTGGAAATGATACTTTTCTGCTCTGCTGAGGTTTTTCCCACTCACCTATAATATTTTTTATTTCCATGAACTGATTTTCTTGCAAAGGTCAGTTGTGCGATTATTCAAAGTCTCTTTTTGCAAATCACCGAAAGCCAAAAAGCTGCTATTGAAATCCACTTACGAAAAGGACCTACCACTGAGCCAAAGGAAACACAGACATGGTAATAGAATTTCCACTACGTTTTATATATATAGTTTTATCTGGTTTGGTTCACACATTTCATTTGATTTCCCTGAATGGGTGAAAATAAACGCAAAATTTGATAGATGTTCTGGCTGGGCAAATGTGACGCATTTTCGATTTTCCCCGGCAGGTCACTTTTTACACCATTTTTATGCGCTCGGAAAAGTTTGTTTGCCCGCCTGTCGGTTTGTTTATACTTCACTATCTTTGCTCCGCCCCTCCTCTCCTCTCCGCCTGTCTATTTATTTATTTTCCAAATAAATACTGACTCCTTCGCCGTTTCCTGTTTCTTCCTTTGCTCTCGTTGAACTCTCAAGGATTGAATTGAATT